TCAAATGATATATTATTAATATGGTATACACAATATGATGATTTACCGATTTTGACTTTTACGATATATCGTAATATAATCAAATAATAAAGGGCATGTTCTCCCATTGTTTTAATTCTGTTGGAATTTCAATTGAACTTATATATTTTCGAATTTTGATATTTAACCGAGTTTGAACCTTTTATTTTTTCTTTCGTAGCATATGTTATAATTAAACAACGGATTTTAATTTAAATAAATATTTTTATATAGTTTTAACATTGGAAAGTTTTTGACATATGTGTACGTTTCAATTAATTTTGAATAGACCGATGCTAATTTTATTTTAAATATTTTTAAATATTTTATAAATAAATAAATAATGATTAAAATCTGTTCCCTAGTTATAATAAATATTAAAACATTATTGTTATACATAAATAATACAATAATAGCATATCAGTACGTGTACACAAGATAATAATATAAATAAACACTTATCCAAGAATTTATGAAGAGCCACAATATTAACTGAGAGATGGGACTAACAAAATTTTACTGATTTAATCTATTTGTAAATGTGTACATTGATATGGTTTTAAGTTTATCTCTCATAAAAAAAATTAATATTGAATAGTATATTAACAAGCGAATATAATTCGATTAAAAAAAAGATATCGTGTACTTTTATTATTATAAATTCCAAAACCGAAGTCATAAACTGTTTCGGGTTTGTTCCGTCATTATATTTTGGAATAAAAAACGAGGTAGATATAGTTATGTATATATACCCTAATTATAATAATTAAATAATTCATACCACCCTCATTTGATTGTATTGTTGTATGTGTGGGCATTATCTAAAAATACATTAAACATCGTTACAATATGAAATGTATGGTGTGCTAAAATGGCTAATTAATTCTAAAAAACGGCATTTATCATTATTGTACTTCCCATCTTAACTTAGGTGTGCATGCATTAAAACTATACAAATTATATTTTGAATTTATTGTAAGTATGAAAAAATAAAAATAACCATCACAATTGTTATTATATAACAACTTTTTATTTTACCCGTAAATTATTAGTTTTTTTTTTTTTTTTTTTAATAAAACCATATAAATCGATAAACGATTTAAAATTATTATTTTATTTGCATACGTGTTGAGAAACGTATGTTAACCATAAATGTTTTGCGATTTATTTATCGTAAAACCAGAACGCACCCATCCCATTACCACGAAAACTTTTAAAATATATAATACAATTGATCGGACAACTATGGTCACCGGTTATGCGAAGTAGTGTCTTTTGCAGTTCTTTTTCATCGTGGTCGCGTCATAATTTACCATTTCCTTTTCGATATCGTCTCGTTTGATTCAAATGATACATTATTGATATCGTATACACAATATTATTATATACCGGTTCGGGCTTGTACGATGTATCATAGTATAATCAAATAATAAAGGGCATGTTCCCCCATTGTCTTAATTCTGTTGGAATTTCCATTGAACTTATATATTTTCGAATTTTGATATTTAACCCAGTTTTAACCTTTTATTTTTTTCTTTCGTCGCATTTATTATAATAGATATTATAACATTGTTGTTATACATGAATAAGCACGTGCACACACACTCATACACAAATTTAATGTCTAGCGACCACGAGCTAGAGGAAATAATAAAAGTGAAATAAAAATAGGTAAAAAGCGGTCGGTAGTCCGTCAAAAGAAATACATAACTACCTCCTGAGTAATAATTACTGGGTCAATTGTGTTTATACGACAACGCAGAAAAACGGGTCAAATCGTGTACACGGTCGCACACGCATATTATAATACCGGTCGAGGTTTTTCGATCACTGCATGACAACGGTGGCCGCACGGCGACGCTATAACGTTATTATTTCTGTTGCGTACCAGCGAGTAGGACGAGCTCTCGAGACTTAATTTATTTAAATTATTTTTTTTTTAACGAGTTATTGTTATTTTCTGTTTTGCCGATCGCACGCGTGAACATTATGTTCGCCGGCAAATCCATCGGTAAACACCGCTTGTACTCGGACGGTGGCGGCGCTGGGGGTAGGGGGACGGAGCGAAACGCCTCGCGCGCAGTCCACGGGTTCGGTTGTCGGGTTGCTCACGGGTAAAACGAAATAAAACCGAATAATAATCGTAATAATAATCGAGGAGGGCGCGATATGTGTTGAGCGGGAGAGAAATTCGGCGTGGCGTTCGTCTCGAGCGCCGCGGTCGTCGGGGCGGAGTGCCGGGGGTCGAGAGCTAGAGGGGAGGTCGCGCGTGGCGCCTCGCCGCGGCGTTTTCGACGCAACCGACACGGACCACCCCGCTCGCGCGCGCATTCGGCGGCGTTACGCGCGCGATCGGCGGCGGCGGTCACCGTTTAGTACGTTCAATCGGCTCGCCCGGCCGAGTCCTGCGCCGCCGTCGCCGCCGACCGCACACCGAAGAACCGAAAGTCCATCTCGTCCTCGTCCTCGTCCTGGTCGCAGCCGGCCCGACCGCCGGTGTCGTCCGACAGCGAAGTCCGCCCGCCGCCGCCGCCGCCGTCGTGTCGAGATCGCCACACCGGAAACGATCGCGCAGCCCGAAACCATGGTCCAGATGTGTAAATCGTAATGCGAAGATGGTGTGTGCCGAATGTCCAATGGTCCCAGTTGGTGTTGTGCGCGACAGTGCTATTCCTGCTGGGCGGCCTGCAC